CTTCTTTTTGTGCACCTGCACCGTCGTCACCTCCTCCCCCTCCTTCTGTTCGTAGTAACGTGCGTAACACAAACGGCCTCGTGTGCTTCGCGTTAAATCCGCGAGTACGGGCGTCGCTTCGATTTTTTTCTCCGCTATCCGGGGCGCAGGGACGAGAGGAAATCGGCCGCACGGGATCGGTGTCAAGTTTATCTCTCGCTTGGACGACGACGGAAAATAAAAGCGAAGGGTTAGCGTCGAGGGGGGGATCTCTCTCACGGCGGCATGGAGACACGCAGCGAGCCGAGGCGAACCCTTCGACAGCCTTCGGGCCTGTCGTTACGTAATCGAGACAAAGGATTGATTTCCCCGTGAAAGCCCGCGCCCCGTCGTCGCGTCCGCCGCTTTCTTTATTTATCCGTGCAGGAGCGTCGCAGGAGCGGGCGATACGACGCGCGCGAGGCGAGAAAGCTCTCGCGCGCGCCCATCAGCCCACGCGATATATTCCCTCTCATAATTTATTTAAATGACACCCGCTCTCTCTCCCTCTCTCTCTCTCTCTCTCTACGTAATTTTCGTCGCAATCTTAACTGCAGCGGAATCGATAGCAACCGTCCTTGTGCACGCGAAAATAGCGGCGACACGCGGACTCGCGGTACTACGAGAGAGAGAGAGAGACGCTTAAGGCCGTGTCGCAGCTTTTGCTTCCGCTGGGTTCGGCTTGGCGCGCCTTTCGCGAGTAGGAGCCGATGATCCATTCGGTCGATCACGCGAAAGTCCCGTCGACCGCAGCCCCACGGACCGTGATAACGCGTCCCGTTCGTAATCGAGCAGCGCGCGCGCCGATTCGCGTCACCCTTTTTCCCTCTTGACCCGCTACGTCGCTGCGATTGATCGACGCTTTCGGCGGTTTAAAGACGCGCCGAGAGCGCGTTTCGATGCGCAAATAGGAAATCTCCGCGGCTGGACAGACGCCAGCGGACCCCACGGCGCGGCGGCCGGTTAAGTCGCGGCGGATACCAGCGGAGATCGGGGAGTCCGAGCGAAAAAGGGACACACATACACACACACACACGCACGTGGCTCGACAGCTAATATTGACAAGAAAATTCTTTGAAAGGAGACTGAATAGAACAGTCGGCCGCTCAGGAGGATTCAGTCGTTGGCTTTAGATAATCATGTTCAAGGATATCCCAGTGGAAATTAAATTTATTTATATACTTATCTTTTTGTAACATGAACAGGAAGAAATTCCCTTTCTTGTACAAATAAAAGAAAATAATAGAAACAAGAAGCACATAAAGTGACGACGAGGACAAAGAAGAATAGAAAAAGAACTCACGGTATCTTATATTAAAAAAGAATGCATGTATGAGGCGAATATAGTTCTCCTTCCGATTGATCTGGGAGCACAGGCGAAAAAAGGGCACGCGAGGCTTCGACGGCTAATATTGACAAGAAAGTTCTTTGAAAGGGGACTGAATAGAATAGCCGGGAAGATTCAGTCGTTGGTTTAGATAATCACGGTCAAGGATATTCGAGTGGAAATTAAATTCGCGATATCTTATTAAAAAATAACGCATGCGTGCGAGACGAATATAGTATTCCGATTAATCTTGCGCGGGGAAAACATGTTTCAGAATGGACATTTCGTTTAATATAAGCAGGGACGCACATTTGCTCGCTGTCTTTCAAGATTTATCACTCGAATGCATTTGTGATTTTCTTCGGGGAAGAAGATGAAGAACTTATAGGCACTGTCGAGAAGATCACGACCACATGAATCCTACTGGTCAATGATGTGCATTATTTATACATACATGTGTGTATTTTTTTTAATTTAGCTCACTTTCTACGAAGAAGATGATACGTTCGAAATGTATGTCGCTCCTTGGATCTGGAATGTTCTAAATCGGCTAGATTTGCGACAAATTGGCTGCTGAGCCAAATCGCCCACTTGAAATCGAAGGATATTCATCACGAATTCCCGTTACTTTTTAAAATATTTCGTGCATATCTGGAAGCATCGGACTTCTTGTGGATCAAAAGAAGGTTTCTAAGTGGATATCACACAGATGCAAATGCTGAAGATGTGCGCAAAGGTCTCAAGAGTGCAGCCTCGTGTGCATTAATCTACTGGATAAAACCGAGTACTTACTCGATTGATTTTATCGCGACTTGCGTTAGATAAGGCCGCTCTAAAGCGCACCAAGTCGCTAAAGATGAAAATAATTTGCAAGATAAATGGCAAACAGGAAATGGCGGTGTACCGCGAGCCAAATAGGACGTACAGCTGGGAAATAAAACGAGAATACCCGGCAGCCTTAAGTAAATTCATCATTTCGGATTCCCTAATGTCGTAAAGAATTACAGTGCAAATATGCTAATGGCCTCCGTTCGGGGGACCGGGAAATTCTCTCTTCGGACCCGGCCGATGAGTTACTGTCTCGCATCGCTGTGTGTCTCGCGGCAAAAGTATGCCGAGCTTGTACTTCGGGAAAGTCGGTTACTTAAACCGTCCGGATATCGTACATTTTGTTCCCGTCGACCTTTCCTCCCGTAGGCTCCAAATTCTACAAATCCCCGGCTTCTTTGTGCATAGCTTAACGATTTCATGAGCACTTTGTACCTGCGGAGTTTTCCTCGAAACCTGAAACTTTACGTTAATGAAAAACGCCGATTTTGAGGGATTTCATGACGTAGCATCGGCAAAACATTTTTTTCCCACATTTCCTCAACCCTCCATGTGATTCGTGAATGATTTGGGGAACGATAAAAATTCGAATTGACTATAAATAATAAATTTTGATGGAATTATGAGTGAGGCTCGGAATTTCCATATAAAGATAGAGGTGATAAGGAGATTTTGTCTAAATAATAATAAATAAATCGAATTTGAAACGAAAAGAAAAAGAGGTCGGCGGGAACAGAACGCACGATTACGATTAAATAATGAAATAATAGTAATGTTTTTGCAGCGAGCATCGCTAAATCATTTTTCTTTGTGAACGACCACTCTTCAAGAATGCCAATTTACAGGGATTTTGTTTTCGTTCAACGCGTTCAAAAGTTACGAATTTTTTCCTTCGAGTAGAAAAATCATGTTTCTCTTCGTGTTTTCTTCAAAAAAAAAAAAGTTACAAATATTGAAGGTTAAACAAAGTTTATTGGTCCTTTTGACGCCATTTTTCCCAAAAATGTGAGCCAATAACCAAATTTGCAACGGATTCGTGATCGGCAGACGAAAAACTGTGTATTTACCTGACTCTTCGATCCCCCTGACCTTCAGTTTCGCTTCTACCTTCGTCTCTCGTTGCAGCATCTTGGAAACCTCTCTCATCTTCGCACACTGTGTTTCCGTGATTGAAAAAATCCCGCTTCTTGTCCCTCAATGCGCGCTTATCGACTCTCGTTTTCCGTCGGTCCAACGATTACGCTTCTAAATTGTTTCCCCACTCACGTTTTCCAGGCAGCGGGAAGACTAGTGTCATGGAGCGCGTGACGAACGTCTTCTGCGGCAGCGGCAGCGTCGCTTACATGAACTTGCAGAGCGCGAACAATGCGAACACAACGCCCGAGAAGCCCAGCCGGAGCGCCGTACAGACTATCAACAATATACCGGCGGGCAATAACAAGAGCTTGAATAATGTCACGCCGAGCAGAGGCAGGATACCCAGGAACAGGATGAAGAACGTCTTTCTGACCACCGGTGGCGCCGCTGGTACCGGCAGTACCGGCGGTACCGGCGACTACGTAGCGCCAACCACGCTGCAACAACTGATGCAGGACGAGAACTTTCTCTGCCGTTTTTTTCTTTACTTCAATGCAACAGAAAGAAGGATCTTGGCTCAGGTGCGCGCACCGATGACGAAATCGCTCCGTTTCGAGCCTGGTTCCGAAGTAAACGCACGAATCGCGATATTTGCCACCTTAGCGGAAGTGGAGCTTTTCTTAGATTTTCGCCGCTTAACGTCCACGACTTATCTAAACGACGTAAACATAGATCTCGCACGAAGAAATGTCGCGTCTTAAGTTGCATCTCAAAACGTGACAAGCGGTATTTGAAATCCTCTTAAAAGCGAGACGGAAAAAACAATTCCATTGGTGTAACTGAATTTTCCGTTGCCAACCAGACGAAAACATGGTTGTGAGGGTGGAAAGATTCGTAGTAGAAAGTTTCTGCGCAGCCAATTGCTCATGGTTGTCTCAAGCGAATTTTAACGCAGCTAAAAAAATATTCACACAAACGTCGCGATAACGGAAATGTAATTTCTCATCATCGAGTTTTCACCTGTAGTCCTTGTTCAGTCGTAGGAACCGAATTTCTCGTCCCGAATTCGCGGGTCTCAAATTTCCCGCGCGTTCATTTCGGCTCGAAGATTCACGATTTCGCGCATCATTCTGACTCGCCAGATCAGACTTAAACCAGGACTAAAATTTCGACTCGGGGTTTCTTCAAGAATTCCGAAAGATCCCAGGTAGCACAGTGACGTTAGAGGGCGTCATATGGACGTCAATATTGCCGTCAATACGCCCTCTGACGTCACTGTGCTACCTGGGATACATCTTAAAGATGTCTTATGCGTCGATTTTACGGCATTCTGCCGGGAACATAATACGCTATTACTGCGGTAAATACTGCGCCTTCGAGATAGAAATTACTTACTCACCGTTATCGCTGTACGCAGGTTTGCACCAAGTGGAGAGACGTTCTGTACGCGAGACCGCGTCTCTGGACGGGGTTGGTGCCGGTGGTGAGATGCCGCGAGGCCCGCGCTATGCCGCCCAGCTCGCGCACCCGACTCTATGCTTCCTTAGTAAGAAGAGGTTTCCACTCGTTAGTCCTCCTGGGCGCGGCTGATGAAGATATTCCCGAACTAACGCACGGTTTCCCATTGGCGCAGCGATACGTGCACTCATTGTCGTTGCGCTGCTGCGCGGTGACCGACAGGGGCCTCGAGGCTCTCTTGGATCACTTGCAGGTAAATCCGCTATGATTCATCCGCGCATTCTCCTCCGTGTGTCAGCTCGACTCGTGCGTTCCTCGCAGTATCGTACGGCGGTTAAGTGAAATCGGAAGTCGACATTTTTATGCTACTTTGACACATTTGAGGGGATAGTTCGCGTCTGGATGACCTATAGACTAATAAAACTTTACTTTGCCGATACCGGCACTCATTAATTTCCCTCTTGAACCTTTGACTCCACGGAATTTAATTTTAATGCTATTTTGAACGACCTATTTTTCAACTAAAATAGCGAAAATGGAAGTTTAAGACATCGTCGGAGTCGAATTATATTATTAGAATCGCGAAGCCGAATTTATTTCGTTATCTTAGCTCCATCTGTGTTGTATTTAAAGGCTTAACATAGAGCCAAAATTTCGACTCGAGACGTGAAGATCTTTTCTCAAGTTCTCAGGTTATCGTTATTATACTAAATTCGATATTGACTCTCCGTTACAACGAATAACCGCGCAACGCGCACTTATTCCGAAAAATTATCAAGTTGACGTCGCGCGAGAAGGATCCGTAAAAAAAAGATTTTACGCAATCTGAATAGCGGTGTCACTGCAGTGATACCGCTAAGAGCGATTTATCTCGCGATAGATTGTATTCCCCGACCAATAATAATGCGAATATACGAAAGGCCAATGACGAGATGCGTGTATGAATACCCTCCTATTGTCGGCCGGCTTTTATTCCAGCACAAAAAGCTCCATTTTATTCGGGCGGAAGTAGCTGTTTCATTCGAGGCGCGCGCGCAGTCCATCGCTAAGAAGCTCGTTAGCGGGATCCTCGACGTCGGCGTCGCGATACGAATCGACACGGGGACTCACAATTTGCTATTATTTTTAGGCTTTGTACGAGCTTGAATTGGCCGGCTGCAACGAGATAACGGAAGCCGGCCTGTGGGCTTGCCTCACCCCCAGAATAGTGTCGTTGTCCCTGTCGGATTGCATCAACGTCGCCGATGAGGCGGTCGGGGCGGTCGCCCAACTATTGCCGAGCCTCTACGAATTTTCCCTGCAGGCTTACCACGTCACCGATGCTGCGCTTGGTTACTTCAGTGCCAAACAGAGTAGCGCACTTAGCATCCTGAGACTGCAGTCTTGCTGGGAGCTCACCAATCATGGTGTAGTAAATATTGGTGAGCGTCGCTACACATCGATTTCCGCTGAGTACATCTTCATTATTCTTTCATCTTTTTTTTTTCATGTTTCCAAATTGGACAATTTTCACTTTTCATGAGTTCATGCTAGAGGAAAAGATTCGTATTCTGCTAACGGTTGATCGTGAATTTTCTTCCCTGGTATGGATATCACGAGAAATGAGTATTTTCTAATTTGGAAAGCATTTGGAAATGTTCACTTTTCATGTCGTAAGAAAACATTACATGATCGCTATCCAGATTTCGTTCCCGCGCTTTTTACTGAATTCTCGCGATATTTATATTATAAATCTGTGTTCTTTTGTTTATTTGTTTTTTTTTTCTTAACTACATATACATATCACATGACGGAGAAAAGATGTACGGACCAGTGGTTATATTTCATTGTCTTCGCAATTTATAGCGGGCTGTGTATTGTTATTGAATTATGGTTACTCAAGGATTACTACTCGCAAAATGCACGGGCAACTTGCCAATGTTAAGTTTCGTTCAGGACTCTGTGAACAGCAAAGGTAAACGAGATGTACAATGGTGATAGGCCGAAATTAAGACAGGTGCATACGGTGCTTGGGATTAAATTTAGAATTAAGGAACACAGCTTTATTTAGCTTTCAAGCTGTCACCGGTAGTTCAGTCTCGAGTTATATAGCGAGCGTACTGTAAAGTAAACGTGCGCAGTTCGCGAACGACAACCCGATATTATTATTTAGAAATGCCGCGAGATATTGCTTCAGTAATATTATTTTGTACCTTACATATTTACACTCACACCATCTTCTCGAGATCCGTTCAAGTTATACTTAATAAATAAATAGAACTAGATTCAATAATTAAAAATAAAATCAATGTGACGATTAGACGTCAAATTATGCGCTTGCTTCAAAAAGAAATTTAAATTTAAATTGCAAATCTGACGAATCAGTTTATTTTTTATTATTTCTCCATTCGCGAAAAGCAAAGATGATTTGGTATAATTAGATACACACTACATATATATGATTATACGCGTCATTCTTGTATCTTTTTTTATGATGTTTTAAAATAATGCCATTTTTCCGTGTTACACACATTGCGTGTAATTTATGAGGTGTTAAATTAATGTCTCCGCCTCTGTTTTAGTACATTCCTTGCCCAACCTGACTGTACTATCGCTTTCTGGATGCAGTAAAGTAACGGATGATGGTGTTGAATTAATCGCGGAAAACTTGCCAAGGCTTCGTTCTTTAGATCTGAGCTGGTGCTCAAGGATTACAGATTCAGCCTTAGAATATATTGCCTGTGATTTGAATAACTTAGAAGAGCTCACATTAGATAGGTGAGTGGAAGTTATTGGAATTATAAATCTCGAGACTACGATTTAGCGGCGAGTGTCTAGTCTGCCTAATAGATTGGCTCGTTGCATTCGCGTAAAATACAGAGGGACGTCGCGTTTCAATATCTCGCGGACAGGTATTATATCGTAAACGTATCAATGAAGTGAACAATTTCATAAGCGTTAGACTCACATCTTTCATCTCCGGGAATGTCAATTCCGTCTAAATCGAGGATCGAGTATCCGTCCGTTTCCAGGAGAAACCGTACGGCTCTTGAAGGGTATCCTCTAAGGATTTTTCAGTTACCTAACGACCACAAGTATTTACCCAGGCATTCTATTTGAGATCACGCACGTTACGTAACGCCGCTGACTCACATATGTTACAAAGTGTCAGAAAGTCGCGACGAGCCACAATTACTTTTGGCGAAACGGCTGTTCGCCGTGACATTAAATCCGCGCGCCTTGTCCGCTATTTCGTATTTCACTGACACTGGCTCGGCGTAATTTACGATATCGCATTCACGTTCCTCGCGTCATATAATTTCGTAGGTGTGTACACATCACGGATATTGGCGTCGGTTACATTTCCACGATGGTCTCACTGAGCGCCTTGTTCTTGAGGTGGTGTTCGCAACTTAGGGATTTCGGACTCCAACATCTTTGCGTCATGAGATCTCTGCAGGTGTTGTCCGTGGCAGGTAAGGTCGCATACCATGTGAATCATAATTTACGCAATCTCTCTTGCGCGGTACAATATTACGAATTGCACGATCAAGTTCACGTACTTCTCGGTCTGAACTAATCATCTAATTCAATAGAACGAACTTCTTTCATTTTTTTTTCTTGACTAAAGTAGAAACAAACATGTTAGATGTTGTTTAGCAGAGTTTATATTCAAAGAGAGAGAAATCGCTTTGCTTTTCCGGCGGATATCGCACGGAAACAATTCAATTATTCGATAGAATTTCTATTGAGAGGATTAAATTAATCCCAATATTAAACAAAATTCAATTTTCTCTGTCTCTCTAGGTTGCCCATTGCTCACGAGTGGTGGTTTATCTGGTCTGATACAGCTTCGGCACTTACACGAGTTAGAACTAACTAATTGTCCAGGAGCGTCGCGAGAACTGTTTGACTATTTGCGTGAACATATGCCGCGTTGCCTAATCATCGAATAAACGATGCTTAACGAGAATACGATATCGGCAAAGTAAGGTCCTCGATTCGAAGATTCGAACAGATGTATATGTGTGTGTGTGTGTGTGTGTGTGTGTGTGTGTGTGTGGAAAGTCAGGCGAGGGAAGCGTGTTAAACTTGCGAGTTTTCTTCAAAAACTCGGGTTTCGATCGCGCGGGATCTCGATTGTGCGCGAAAGTAATTCCGGACGAGAGCGGACGAGCGGAACGGAATAGAAAGCAATTGACGTCCAGATAACGAAAGAACGCTAAGTTTTTCCTCTCGTAATGGTCTAAGGAAACACTAGCCCTCGAACGTGCAAGATAATACAACTAATAACGCGCATAGACATTTTTAATACACTAACGTCCCGTGCACTTCCGTTCGTATTTTTTCATTCTGCCACGCAATCACGTCGGGCGAACGTACGAAAAAACAAAAAAAAACAAAAATACAAAAAAAAAGCTGAAAGGAGACTCTCACGCCCCGTTGTAATGATCTTGTACAGAGAATTGAATTCGATATTGTACATTAGAAGAGATTGATAGCGCGCATGCGCCCATCAGAAAGAAGAGATCGGTGACTTGTGGGTCCTTCTTTTTGCCTCCTAATAGTGTAGAAAGTCCGAGTAAGCATACGGCAAGAAACAACAGTTAGAACTGTGATAAATTTATATTGTACGTAATTCTGATTGGTTCTCGCGTACGTGTGTTCGAACGTCATCGGCTGCGCTTGGTCGCGCGGCGGGCGAAACGATTGAGAGTAGCTGTCGGGTTTTATTCGACGAATGTATATGTACGAATGCGCGTAACATTCGATTACATTCAATTCGTTCGGGCGCCGCTCGATCGTTGTCTCCGCCACATGTGGGCCGATCGACGCGCGCATTTGTCCCATTATTTGCGATTATAGCCGCAACACACTACGCATGTTGCTTGAAAGAAAGTACTTAGCGGGTATCGATTACACAGAACAGAAGCTAACATTCCAGCATTACGACATTACTCAGCACTCTATTCATGAAAACACATGATCCGTGTTGTTTGTTTGACGACTGCATACTGTAGGCAGAAACGCGTTTCAATTGTCACGAATTCACGACATTTACGTGGTAACATCGTCGTCCTCATCCATGTGTTAACTTTATATAGTATATACCTCGTGCAATCAGTGTTCTCTAAATTTAGAACTTTTCGCTAGCTATATAATTCTTTGTGGTTTTCCCGATTAAGTATATACATATGCGTATATATATATAAATATATATACATATAAATATATATATATATATATATTAATGTAACATAATTAGAAGAGAAGATATCTCGCGTGGTTTACCAAGTGGGTAAATGATAATTTTAATAATTTATTTATACCGCCATCGGTACGTCGTATTATGCCTTATCGGTACTGGCATATTAAACCGACTAAGTAACTCAGCGTACTATTATTTACAACTTAAGCAAGCGCGTTGTATTAATCGATGTACCAATCGATTTAATCGAGCGTTCGAGTTGCGCGAGAGCAATAGGATGCCAAAAGGATGTGTCTTTCTTAAGTTTGTCGCGCACCACTCGTCAGTAGCACGCAATAAACTCACTCGCAACTTACGATGCGGTACGATACACACGTCGGGTCTGTTCTTTGTCGCCGAATCAATGCGCATTTTCGGAACCTAAGACTTAAATCTGATATATAGCTGGGACTTCGTGTAAAAAGGAGGGAAAGAAGTAGAATTAATGTCAGATAGTGCAGCCAGTTCAGCTGTGAAGAACAGATACCTATCGTGCGCCCCGTTCACCATGATAAAATCCATCCTTGAAGTAATTTCGGCCAGAACTCGCCGTAACTCTTATGTGATATATTGATGATTATGGTTGTAGCGTGGTAAATCTAATTTGTTATTCCATTCAACTCAATTAGACAGTCTATCCTTTTTCCCAAAGCAATCCGATAATCACGAGCAAATATAATTTCTACGTGTTGTCACATGTTTAGCACATATAACACCTTTGTATATATTGTACAAATTATATCTGATAATTCTGTTATCAATCAAAACCGAACGTAAATATATCTGCACAGGCGAAATTGTATTTGGAGAGTGGAGTCACATTGTGAAATACTACGATCACAGACGCAACATTTAATGACGACACACGATAATATGATGGAATGTGCTGTGAAATAAAAATTTATTGACCAAACTAAATCTAGCACTTTAATAATATGTTTATCTTAAGACTTTATTAATATATAAAACAAATTATGCATTTTCCCACCAGGAAAGTACACCTAGACCTGGTTCATCAATGGATCCCTATAGGATATATCAGTATTTATATAGTGCAAAAGTAAAACACTATATTAATTAATATAAATATATATATATATTTTTTTTTTAACGTTTGACTCTCTGTACTTACGTGTAAAATGTATGGTGGGATCTTATTGGGGGGATTGGTTTCTTGCTTCTCAACTGCATCAGGTGGCTTGGGTAACTCTTCCGTAAAGATCTCATTCACTACTCGGAATCTGATCATCTCATCTAAAATTTAATAATGCAACTTTACTACTTCTGTGCAACATTAATCTTAGCCTTTTGCATATGCAAGGAATATACCTGCATCCATAAATAAATCGTGTGTTTCTCCGTCATCAGTCTTATATTCCCATACCCACACTTGATCCATCTGATCAAAACGTGATGGATGTTGTAGTTTGTGAGGTGGTATGATTATATCTTCAAAGAATCCTAATGTGACTGTAACAGAATAGAAAGTAGGTAACAAAATTATGCTAAATTAAGTGACACGATCCAATTCTTACCATGTATACCGTCAGCGCTACAACTACGAATTCTTCCTATTAATATCTCCTCCATAAATGGACGGAACACAACAAAACGAAACGATACGTTTGTATGAGAAGCTCCATCCCCTGGGAAAATGTGGGATTCTTCGATTTTTGTGATGTCGTATAGTATAATGCAAAGGCCTACATTTATGTACACCTATTTGATAACATTTATTTTAATTCTATCGGCAAGGAACAAGTATGTATTAATTATTTAAGGATCACTTACTTTGTTAACAAGCTTTCTATTCAATTCATCCGCGATCACATCGTTTAATTTCTCTTTGAAGCTGCTTGGCGGTGTCCTCACCGTGTCTTTTAAATCAGCAAGTATAAACATTATGCTTGTTTTAACTTTTCAATGGTTCCACACTTCTAACCTTAAACGATAGAATATTTCCTCAAAATAGTCAACGAAATATATTCTGTTTTAAAATATGTAAAATTGAGAATTGTTAAAAGATTACTTTTATCTCAAATATCTTACATCTTTTACATTTGTAAAATATATAAATCTTTACACATGATTTGTACGCACATGTACACAAAATAACATTACGAACGCATAGTTAACGCGTACTTAACCCTGAAGCGGATGCAGCGTTGCAGAATTAAAAAGATCCACTTGAATTCGCTACAAATGTTTCGAAGCCGTTTAGACCAATCATATTCTTTCTTTAAGCGCTACAAGGCGTTTGCAGCTTTAAGTGGACCTTACCCACTATCTATAGTTCAATATATCCAATGAGCATATTGTTTTTCTAAAAGAGCTGCACGCTCATTGGATATCGCATATTGCGTATTGCATATCACATATCCGGTCTGGTCTGCAAGAATATTCAAGCAAAATTGCGAAATTAGGGCTAACTTTCAACCTCAGGTTTCTATCTGATGCGGCAATAGAAAACAAGTAAGCGTGCGCGAATTTATCTGAAATGGACGTTGTTAAATCGATCTTAGGAGACAAAGGAACAGAATCCGATCCAAGTAAGACCACTAAAGTTCACAAAGATGTGGAGCTCGACATTGATCTGGGAACACTACTTGCGACTGATTATAATACTTTGGACGTAAAGACTCTCAGGTGATCTAACCTCAATTTCACACACATGTTCCAATTGCTCTATACTAGTCTGATTCACAAATTTATAACCAATTAATATATTCATACTCTATTATATTTAGGTCAAAGCCAAATTCATATTTAAAAACCTTGACGAGAGATAATGTGCAATTATTGATCAATAAAATCTGGGAGCTACCAGTCGAACGATTGGAAGATGCCATAGTGGCTAAATTGCCCAAACCTGAATATGTATTGCCGCGTTCGCTTGCCATTCCAAAACCTAAACCCCTAACAAAGTGGCAACAATTTGCTAAAGAGAAGGGAATACAAACGAAGAAGAAGGGTAGATCTAAACTAAAATGGGATAAAGAATTAAAGGTAATGTCTATATTTGAAGTTTCTATGTTATATTTAACAATTAAGTGGTTAGATTGTGTGCAAAAACATCATGACAAAGCCTAATTAATCCTTACTTTTTTTTTCTCTCGGGTTTAAGAAATGGGTTCCTACATATGGTTATGAACGAGCAAAGGCTCAGGAACAGAAAGAATGGTTGATAGAGACCAAGGATAATGCTAATCCGAATGATGATCCATTTACCAAGGCTAAGGAAGCTAAGCAAGAAAGACAGTCGAAAAATGAATTACAGAGACTTCGTAACATAGCTAGGTCTAAGAACATCAAATTACCAAGAGTTGGTCTACCAACCAGAGATCATTTCCCGAGCTCTCACCAACTTTCCGAAGCTCTGACAGTAGCACGTACATCAACAGCTTCTGTGGGAAAATTCCAGCCTAGGTATATTTCTCGTTTTATCATTTATATATATATTTTTTAATATATTTCTAATATAGGAACAGAAAACAAACCTAATATTTTTCCGCAGGCTGCCAAAAGAGAAAGATGCAAAAGGAATTGCTAAGGAGGTGCCAGGAATGAAAAGGAAACGGAAAGCACCTCCATTAAATGCCGTTGATGAAAAACGTCAAAACAAAGGATTAGTGGATAACATATTGAACAAGAGGAAAGTTCTTCGTGATCATTTAACAAGAGAAGGAATTGCAGAGTAAGTTTTTATCTTGTATAGATTCTATATACAGGATGAGTCACTTGAAACATCCGAATAACATCTATAGTTTTGGAAATAAGAAGAAATACTTGAAGTAAAAATTGTTTGGTATTAGGAGTGATATATTTTAATAAAAAAGAAGTCTTAAGCGACTCATCCTGTGTACTAACATAATTTGCAATATTTAATATATTTATATTATTAGAATAAAGCAAACTGAGAGAAACGACAGGAAGAAAAAGAAGAAAACTGGCGCCTCAAAACACAATAAAAACGCTAAAAAACCGAAAGCAGGCAAAGGCAAACGTGATTTGCACGCGAAAGTTGGTGGCAGAAAGCGACGATAAATAAGAAATGCTTATGATAATTGTATGTTAAAGGATAATAAATGCTTTAAATGTGTGTTCTCAATTAATGAAGTAGTTTCTAAGCCACTTTTAGATGCACTCTTATTTTTAAAAGAAAGTTCAGAATATGAACTTAGGTGTTGACTAATGAAATTATAAATATTCTAGTAAATTCGTTCATTTTTGTCATTTTCACCTCTTGAAAATCGTAGCAGCCCTTCTATGCACCCACCCTTAAACTATGCTGTCGCCTAAGTTATTGCGAACACCGCTATCTACCGGTTATTCTAGAATGCACAATCAAAGAATTGGTTGGTCGATGTCCCTTTTTGCCGACGGAAGATTAAAAGATATGTTAAAAAAAATTAAGGACCTCAAGCTATAAAATATTTCTACAATCAGTTTATTATGATGATTTTGCCGATATTGCAAACAGTATAGCTAAAGAGTGCGATACTTTCCAAACAAGAGGCCGGACGAGCTTTCCATTTCTCAGTAGTAAGGTTAAGCGGTAATAAAATCTATTTGCATCGAATTGGGAAATAATTATTGACACGGAGCTTTACCGAGTTTGAAAGTACAGAGTAAATAATTGGTTTGAAAAAGGAGGAATCATACATCAACTCCTTGGTCGAACATCGCCTATTCCTAATGATTATTGCGCATGGATGTGTTTGTGAAATGTGACGTCCGTGGCTCGGCATCGTTGTCAATGGCATGTGCGGAATTTATTCGAACGATAGTTTCAATGATGTCTCAGCAACGGGATTGAACGCAATGGGGAAGGATGTTGAAATTGGCGATAGACGTTAAGTCGCTGTAGAACGTTAAGGGGGCATAGCGTAATATTCGAAGAGATCATCGCGGGAGCGTCGGAAGGAACGAAGTTGCAGGTTACGTACTGTTTGGCACCACCATGGCACAGTCAACAACAAGCGGAACTTCCTCGCGGCGATACATGAGGGAACACGATGTGCCGTCCACATCACGGTACGTGGACAGCGAATGGGAGTCCAAAGAGGTAATTCCTTCAGATTGTATATCCTGTTGTGTTACATTTCTACCATGACCAGGTCACAGTATCCCCCATGTAGCTTATACAGTTGCACCATATTTATTTGTGCATTTCACAACGTATCTTAACGAACAGGCCTTACGACAGAGAGAACTGGAGGAAGCAAGAGCACGCGCGGCACAGATGGAGAAGACAATGCGATGGTGGTCGGATTGTACCGCTAATTGGCGTGAGAAGTGGAGTAAGGTTCGGAATGAAAGGAACATGGCCAGAGAAGAGGTGAAGGTTCTCAGAGCGAAATTAGAGATTGCGGTGAAGGATGCTAATACCTTCAAGCATGAGTCGCAGGAGATGGAGCTGCAAAATGAACAGCTGAAGAAAGAAATGGAGAAGATACATATGATACTATTGAAGCACGCCGGACAATTTGACCAACAGATCTTCACTGTCTTAGAGTCGGATCCACATCTGAGAACCACCTTTGGGTTAGATGAGCAATTAGAGTTTTATAATAACGTCGAGCCCAGTGATATGTTAAGTGTTCAAAAGGACTTGATGTCCTGTAAAAATTCGCACGAAGCTCCGAGCGTTGCTTCGAGCAGTCATAACATCTTGCCAGGTAGAGTCATCGAGGAGTACGTCTTGCAAGGTGCGGTGCCAAAGCATGCTGTAGAATTATACAAGGAAAGCTCTAGTAATTTGTTAGATAAAAACGTCACGAAACTAGTCGCCAATAATAGTGCCATGAAGGACGCACCGGGGAAACAGCAATTAAATTCGTACAATGAAGAGTCGTTGAGCCAGAAAATGTCAGCGTTGCAGCTGAAATTGGAAGAAGCGACGAAAACCATTTCCGTGGAGAGAGAGTAAGTCTGCGTGAGAGTTAACGTATGAATATAACTTTGTATCGAGCACAACCGATTTTAGTTATAGAATATATTAATTTCAACATTATTGTGTGATATATCGACTCAGTGGAATTTATCTTCTCTTTCCTGTTAGAGAGAAGAATTCTTTACATCATACTGTGGAGAAACTGAAAGCCGAGATCAAACAATTGAGGGAACAGTGCGATGAATTGCACGAAAGTAGAGCCGACGCGATGAGAGAGTTATTGGATTTGAAAGAACGTTTCCAGATTGAGCTCAGTGACGCACAGGCTGACTTGATGGACGAGACGATCGACGGAGAGGGCATGGACCGTCGTTTGAATGAATTGAGAGCCGAAGTAAGCGATCCGTGCTGTATTGATTGTACCGATTCATTTGATCGACACTATTGATTCACACTCTCTATAAACTTCCTCGTGCACCCGCAGCTTGATTCCTCACAAAGAAACTACGACACTCGACATTCGTTGAAAGATGCAATTTGCTTTCCAATTTGCCACTGCGCGTTGATATAATGTTACTTGATAAACGTTTTCACATTTTACAAACAAATTTAGCTGGAGAAGCTTCAGACTGAAAATGCAGTGGAGTGGGACAAACGGGAGAAACTGGAGACTGCGAAGATTTCTCTGGAACGAGAGAACAAACGGCTGCGGCTCAAGATACACGATCTGCAAGAGAGAATAGATTCACGACGGCCACGTCCGGTGTCTACGGCTGATACGGATACGAGGCAACTGCAGCAAGAACTCATCGTTCGTAATATGGTTCGTATCGTGTGGCTGACATTGCGAATCAAGCGCACTCACGGGATTATCATTTCGCGATGGTCGCAGGTGTTGCTCGAAGTGAAGCAATATCAGACTATACTGAAGCAATCCCTGGCGGAGAAAAGCACGGAATTATCGCATGCGATGAGACGGTCCGAGCAGTACGAGGCGGAGGTGAAGCGAGTGAGAGGCAGAGTCGAGGAGTTGAAGAAAGAGCTGGTCGCTGCTCAGGACGAGGTCGACGCTGCCACGAACAGCTTACGAAAATTGCAACGGGCGAACGAGGATCTCATGGAACAACTGGAATCCGCAAATGTGCAATTGGAGCATTTTAGAAACAGGTGAGCGAGATCTCATCTCTCGAAGTCGAAGTTCCATCCGTATTTTGATTTTCTACAGTGGATCTGAAGAGAGATCGTTTTATTAGCAATAGTGAGTCGTGTACAGCGGATGCCGGAATAGAACAAATAGAGGAAGAAAAGTTCCAAGCTAACAATTCCGATGAATCCGCGGAGGGTATGTTACTAATTTAGTCGATGCGCTTAAGTGTCGCAGCTTTTGAATGGCAAGACAAATGGCAACTAATGGCTTCTGCAGTACGTCAAAATTCAATTTGTTATTTTATTTAATTAAGATGATATTGCTGCTTATTCATAAAAATGGTGTTGAATGCAGAGAAGAAAGAGAAAACTTGTATTGTTTCAGTCTGCGATAAACCGAAAGCCTAGTATTCGCTCGTGTTGATGGCAACGACTTGCTTGATCCAGGTAAACGAAAATGCAAATCGGATGGGTGATATGCTAGCGGGCCTAAGGTATTTAACGACATAATTTTATTTTTGGACGTTTAACGACATAACGGATCGATAGATATAAGTGCTGCGTTCGGCGGAGAAAGCAGCTTTGCAACTGTTGCAAAGCTGCTTTCCCTGTCGAATGTAGCTATTGCTTCGGCGTTTGAATAATCAAATTGTACACGTAGAAAATAGATAGATACGTAGAATACGATATGAACGTCGTGAGTGCCTATTATGGTATTTAACAACTAATTTAAAACATCAGTACTTCCAGTAGCGTATATGTACATGTGTATAGACAACTGATAGTGCATTAATATAAGGTATAAATTTAATCGTTTGTCGATCGATAAAGGTCCGTCTACATCTATTGTAAATGTCAGTCATAACTGGTCGTTGGATGCTGCCGTAAAAAATCATCAGAAAAATTGGCTGAACTTCGACTGACTTCGATTTTGTACGATGCTTGCCTGGCTTTGCAACGATTTCTTTCCATATTACTACTATGACCGGTTTTACGATAGATGTACATACGACATTCGTTAACAAATACGCAAAAAATTTAAATTTTTCTCTTTAAAACGCTCGTATCACATTTTCGAATCAAATAATTTTTCGTTCTGAAAACTCAACTGAAAGACGAAGTTTGAAATTGAGCGGTCGCCATTTTTCGTTTAACTCGAAATCATAACGAAAGTTAACGACAACATTAATATAGCTAATGTGATTAAAAACTAGAGACTTCAAGCTTTAAAGTGCTTCTTAAACGATCTCCATAGCGTCATTTTTACAAAAGTTATAGCTTGTTGAATTTCGCCTATGTTTTTCATTATAATGGATAGTACGTCTGGCCAACCCTTGAGTCATGCTACTTGAAAAAAAATAGAAATATTTCCGACTCCATCGTTTAGTCATATCACGACCCCAATTTCTTATAAAGTATAGTGGCGACTCGTAACGGGGATTTTGGAACTAAATTACGGAAATAACGGGTCTAATAATTCTGTAAACCCGTTATTTCTGCAATGGGTACATTATTAATGCATCTTGAGGAAATTTAAACACAGATCTGTTTCCTTCAGTTGCACTTTCTACATTTTTCTCTACTCGATCTCGAAACCTCAATATTTCATCTTAAGCATAGAAAGTGTAACTAAAACAGATGTGTATTTTGATGTTTACAATCCAAATATAAAAGATAGACTTGCTGTTCTCCATCGTGGGAGGAGTAATAAAGCCTTAAAGTAGCCCTAGTATAAGGCACCGTCTATATTCTTCTTATGTCAGTAGTCGTGCAGTATTTACTGCTTATACTCGATTTATATATACTCAAACGTGAAACTGTGTTCATCTTCATCGTTATACTTTCTGTAGATACTCATTTCATCGTCATTCATATATTCGTTTTTTTACTTTTATAAATTATAAACGTAAACGTCTCACTTTCATTTCTCATTTACGCGCCTTTTGTAAACAGTTCATATCTCGCGTTTATTGTTTTATATGTATTTTTTTTTTTTTTTTTTTTTCCCTAA